ATCAAATATTTTTGTATTTTTAAAGCTACAAAAATTTTATTTTAAAATAAAAACAAATCTCACATGATGAAACCCTAATAACGTCTTACTTAAATCAACAGTTATTCTTGTCATTAAAGGACAACCCAAAGCTATCCTTTCCCTCTGGCCTCTGTTACTCCCATAAGGAAAAAACAGGAAAGGACCAACAAATTTTCCCACTCCCCAAACACTCGGTTTTCCCTTTATGTATTTACCTTCCTTTTATTTCATTTCCCTTCATCAATAAACCGCGTTTCGCTTTGAATGAAACCCGAATTAATAACCAGCGAAAACCGTGTTGATTCACCCAAAGTCTTGAAACTTGAAAGCTCTGTTGCTTAATCTTTACGAGCATCATTTTCTTTCTCGTCTTCCCTTTCGCCGCAATGCCAATCACCTGAAATTTCTTTGTCAAAGGAACTCAGAAGTGAAAGCTAAAACCTAAATAGAACACAGTTGTCTGTCTTTTTCTTCTTCTGTTTTTCTGGAAAAACGATAATGCGTCCCGTTTTCTATGTCGCCGCTGTTTTGCTTCTTCATTTCTCGCTAACGGCGACGCTTTGTGACGGGATTCGGACCATCGGAGGGGGAGATGGGTCTGGGTCTGGGTCCGGGTTCGAGTTCTCGGAGGCACCGGAATACCGTAATGGAGTGGAATGTCCGGTTTCTGCCAACAAAGAAGTGGTTTCGTCTTGCGATCCGGATTTGGTCCACGTGGCGATGACGCTGGACTCCGAGTACTTGCGTGGATCGATCGCCGCCGTCCACTCCGTCCTCCGCCACGCTTCGTGTCCCGAAAACGTATTGTTTCACTTCATTGCCGCCGAGTTCGATCCGGCGAGTCCAAGAGTCTTGAGCAAACTCGTCCGATCCACGTTCCCTTCACTCAACTTCAAAATCTACATCTTCAGGGAAGACACGGTAATCAACTTAATCTCTTCTTCAATCCGTCAAGCCCTCGAAAACCCACTCAACTACGCCCGGAACTACCTCGGAGACATCCTAGATCTCTGCGTTGACCGAGTCATTTATCTCGACTCGGACCTGGTCGTCGTCGATGACATTCACAAACTCTGGAACACGACCCTGACAAACTCACGTGTGATTGGCGCTCCCGAGTACTGCCACGCCAACTTCACAAAGTATTTCACGGATGCGTTCTGGTCCGACCCGGTGATTTCCCGGGTATTCCATTCGAGAAAGCCGTGTTATTTCAACACGGGAGTAATGGTGATGGATTTAGTCCGGTGGAGAGAAGGGAATTACAGGAAAAGAATAGAGAATTGGATGGAAATTCAGAGGAAACGAAGGATTTACGAGTTGGGTTCGTTGCCGCCGTTTCTGCTCGTATTTGCCGGGAATGTGGAAGCCATTGATCACAGATGGAACCAACACGGGCTCGGCGGCGACAATGTACGAGGTTCTTGTCGATCTTTACATACCGGTCCGGTGAGTTTGTTGCATTGGAGTGGGAAAGGGAAGCCCTGGGTTCGACTGGATGGCAGAAACCCATGTCCGCTCGATCATCTGTGGAAACCCTACGATCTTTACAAGGGAAGTTCAATCAAAGATCAGTCTTCTTTTCCTTCTTCGATATTCTTGGGATTTTCCAGTTATTTGTTATGATTCTCTCTCTTTGTTTCTTTACATTGTTACGGAGCTGTACACATATTGAATTCTTTTTTCTTTTCTGGGTTATTCTTTTGTGCTCTGCATATGGGTATCGATTCCTTTCGTTCATCAGATAAGGGTTCCATGATTATGGAACAATTTTGGTTGGTTGGGTTTGATGTCTTTGTATGTAATTGGGGAAGACAACATTACTTAGAGAGGAATAAAGTTTAGTTGTTCATTATTCATTATGTATTTCTCAAATCTCACTTTTGTTCACGGGACCAACTCTTTTTACCAGAAATTTCAACAACCCAAACGACATCTGTTATGAACTTGATGTAATAACAGTTTTGATCTCCTCAATATTAAGTCAACTTATGTAATGGTTACACATTGGTATTAGAGTTCATAAATGACTTGTTTAGAATATCACCTTTATCAGTGAAAGTTATCCATTTTGAAGTCACATCCCAACGCTTGACATATGTTGATATCACATAATATCAAAATAAAAAAATAATGAATAATGAGCTAAAAAAGACTATACAAAATTTATTATTCATATGAATTAGCCTAGACTATTCTACTAGTAGTTTTTGCAGACGTGTCGATCCAAGACCAAGTGTTGAGCAGAGAGGTTCCTCCTCCAAACGTCACATTCTCACATGGGCTCTTCCAGAAGATTTCATAATACAGATCAAGAGGGTGAATTTGTGTATAATCCAATCATAGACTTATATGTTAGACTCTCTTTACAAGCAACCATAAAAAACAAACAATTTTAATGCACAATTATACGACCGTTGATGGGTCTATTTTATGTGAGTGAAAGACTTCAACTACCCCTTCTCCTGCATCATCATCAGCACATAAATATATCAACCGCCAAGGTTCCTACGTATTTTGGCAACATCCTGCGGACTCATTTAAAACGCCTTTTCCAAAACCACGTCGGGAATGGGCGGACCCGACACGAACGCGGCCCTCGAAGCTATTTGTGCGCCAGGGTTTTGGCTACTCAGGCCCGAAATAGTCAGAGCCGGTTTCCTCGAGTCCGTGTTGTAAAGAAAATGGATCAGTCCTCTAGGAAAAACGAACGAGTCTCCAGGCTCAAGCCTTTGAGTGAATAGACGATTAGAGGAATCCACAAAGCCCACTAGAATAACACCCTGGAGACAAATGGAGACCTCCGAGGCTCGAGGGTGCGAATGCGGCGAACAAGTCCGTTACCGGCTATGTCAACACGGGCCATGGTTATGCCCATTGTGTTGATCCCTGGCAAATTCGCAAGGATGGTGAGGGTGACACTGAAGCCGAACTGGTTCGCCTTTGTGTCGCCTGGTTTAGCTAGGGCCGAGGTGGTGAATTGAGAGGACAAAGATAGAGCTAGGTTGAGACAAGGTGCACCATTGAGGTATAAAGGGGATTTAGTGTCTGCAATGCAGTAGTCTTAGAGTGTGTCCGGGTCGGGTTTAGCTAGACCCGTTAGAAGAGTTGGGCACAAGAATATTTGAAGAAAGAAAGAGGAGGTATCCATGGTGAAGTTTGTTATATTATGTGAGTTTGAAGAAGCAGATATATATGATGGATTCTGAGACAGTGATTGTACGTGGAAGTGGAGATTGAGTAGCTTAAGAGGCATTAGAGTTCGAGGAAGAAACAAGGCAAGTTAGAGTGCCCCTAGGGGCCATGGCAATTGGCATGACTTATATATGTTCCAAATTCACTGGATACCACACCACCCACCATTCGTGTTTTCCACTCTTATTTCTATATTATCTTTAATCTAATAATCGTCTCTAAATTACTCTTTCTTTATATAATTTTTCATTAACTTATAGTTTCTATATTGTAAAAGAATGACCCTAAGATTTTAAATATTTCAATTTCATCCTCAAATTATGACTATCATTCTAAATTAGTCCTCAATCTCATCCCCAAACTATGACCTTCATTCTAAAATGGTTCCCAAACTTTTTGATCATTCTAATTTTATCCCAAACTATATGTATATACTAATCACATCCATTGCAAATAAAATTGCTATGCCAAGTTATATTAATATATATTTGAAAAAAAAACAAAAATTAGGTTAAACTATGGTTGAAACTAATTACATATTTGGATGAAATTAGAATATTCAAAAGTTTAAGAATTAATTTAGAAAGATTATCATAGTTTAAGGATGAAGTTATAATATTTAAAAGTTTAAAGACTAATTTAAAATAAAAATCATAGTTTGGGAACATATGATGCAGTTAAATTTGTATTTTATTGCATGTCACGTTATTTTCATACATTTTCAAGGTAAATGTTAGAATTTAAACTCACACAAGATGAGACAACATAAATATTATTTACTATTCAATAAATTATTGAATCTTAATACTTAAATCGTTTAATTTGTACTGTATAGAGTAAATGTCCTTATGATTTTTTAGATCGTATTTTTTATTATATAAATATGTTATTTCATCCATAAGGTTTAGAAGAACAAATTAAGATAGTCGATACTATACTAGTGTACATATTATTTTTTTTAATGTTGGTACATATCGATATTTGTATGTTTTGGTATTTTATTTTATATTTATTTTAAATCATTTAAGAGCATGAGATATTGGTAAATAAACAAAAATGAGCAAGACAATAGCATACACCATCTTAGTTAAACGAAACTGAAAAATCAAAAGTCCAAATCGCAGCACCGCCGCCACAACAACCACAACTCTCCTTTAAGGCAGACATTGTGATATTTAATTATGCAAAGCAAGTGGTTGGTTTCCTTATCTCTTCTACTTCACTACTTTCCAATGTGGACCCTTTTCTTATACCCTTATCTATTGTTTCATTTTCCAACCATCATCTCATCATCACTCTTTTTTCCCAGATTTTGACTCAATTGTTTTTCAGTTACTATCATTAAAATTATTGTCTAGATTCTGTAGTTACATCTCCTGTTTCTTTTTACTCAATGTACCCAACTTTTCCTTCACTTTATGGCTTCAAGCTTTAAGCTTTTATAATTGTACCAACTAACCTTTTAGCCAAAGTGTCATATATGTACCTTAAAGCAAGTCTTTTCCCACAGTAATTATTCATGATAATATGATATAACAAGTTTCAAAGGTAAATAATCTTTGGGTTCTTTTGTGTTTGCTTTGATGATTGAGTTTTTTCTTCTTCTTTTTATTTGGGACTTTCCACAAGTACTAGAAAGAGACAGCTTTTTCATTTTTAATATGAGAGCTTAAATCATACAGACACGACCACATGCTTTCCATTATTGGTTTTCTTTGAAGTGTCATATATTTGGTTTTCAATTTCTTCGAGGCTTCTCTTGTCTTTACACTGAGTTACTTCTACTTTGGGTCCTTCCTTAGTGATCCAATGGATATGGACAAATGATGCCAGCTGCCATGTTTGATGTTGTTAGCTTTGTGTGCTTCAAGTTTTCTTTGTGTGTGTGTGTTTTTTTGGAGAATTTAATGGCTTCAAGTAAAGAATTTAAGGTACTACACTGTCCTTTTGGTTTTTAATTCACCTTCTTCCATTATTGTTGCTTGGATTTAATTTTGTTTTGTTATTATTGGGTTGTTGATTGAATTTTGCACTTCATAATTGCTTCAATTCTGTTTGTTCCTTCAGAAAATGCTCTCAAAATTGTTTTTTTAATGTGATTTGAATAGATAAATACAATGGGTTCTTCAAATCCAGCTCTTGAAGTGTCGGTTTCTTTTGGTAGATTTGAGAATGATTCACTTTCTTGGGAAAAATGGTCGACTTTCTCCCCAAACAAGTACTTGGAAGAGGTCGAGAAATGTGCAACTCCGGGATCGGTTGCTCAGAAAAAAGCTTACTTTGAAGAACATTACAAGAAGATTGCTGCAAGGAAAGCTGAGCTACTGGCTCAAGAGAAGTCTGATGAAGGAGATCCGGTTCGAAAATCGAATGGCGATGAAGGCGATAAGCAAGAAATTAACTTGTTAAGTGAGGTTAATGATGTTCAGGAGCCTGAAACTGCAAAAAAATATCAAGATTCATGGGTTGAGGAATTGAAGGCGAGAATAAATAGCATGGTAGAAAATGAAGAGAAACAAGGAACAATGGGTAGCATAGTGGAAAGTCCTGTGATAAATGCACCAGAAGAGGCCTTTGTGGTGAAGAAGGAAATGGAAACCCCTTCAAAGGGGTCTCAAGATGTTGTGCAGTTATCATCGAGATCGGAAAATGTCATCGAAAGCACTCCCGAGATTAAAGATAAAAACTTGAAATCGGGCCAATCTGCAAAATCTCATAAGGTAAGTTTATCATCATCTTCATCACAATGTCTTTTTCTAATCGATTTGTGTATTGGAGCTTGACTTAAGTGAATTTGTTGTGTTTGCTTGTCTAGATCACAGCAGTGAATAAGGAGAGAAATGATTTGAGGATGAAGAAGAAACCTGCCTCGCCTGTGACTAAAACACCACAACTTTCTACATCTAGAGCATCAAAGACAACATTAACTCTTACCACAAAGTCTGCTTTGAGAACTCAATCGAAAACGGAAACTACATTATCTTATTCTTCCACCAAGATCAAGGATTCTTCTGTGGAACAAAGCAAGAAAGTGGCTCCTAGATCCTTGCACATGTCTCTTAGGTTAGATCCCTCGAGCCATGACCCGGCTTCCCTTCCTGCAACAAGGAAATCTTTATTTATGGAGAAAATGGGAGATAAGGACATTGTCAAGCGAGCATTTAAGACATTTCAGAGTAATTACAACCAACTGAAACCTTCCAGTCAGGAACAATCTGCAGCAGCAAAACCGGTATTATGTTGTCATTTTATAATTTTGATCCTAAAGGTCTACCTGACATTTCTATTACTACATAAATTGACATTCATGGATCTTTTGTTTCGATTTTTCTTGCAGGTGCCTGCAAAGGGAAGAGAATCAAGGGTTCCCACTTTGAAGACTCCGCAAAAGGAGAATGGAGGGTAAACTTCTAAATTAAAAGATTTCAGATGACTAATGCATATATGCTTGCATCAGTGGACTTGCATGCTATTTGAGTCCTGATATGGATTTGATCTTGGATATAGACAATGTATCGGTATCTGCTGAACTTTTTTGTACAACATGGCATTTGTCTCATCAATTGACATTCACATTTGACACGTTTTGGAAGCTTAACTAGTTATTCTGTTAAAACTGATATTAATGAGTTTCAAAATATGAAAAAGCTATCATTGAGCATGTGAGAACTCAAATGTGTGTGTGTGTAAGTTGGCTAGTGTTTCCCTTGTTTCTTTTTTCAGCTGAAGTACTGATTATCATATAATTACCAAGCTTTTTGTCATTTCTGTCTGATCCCTTTTCTTCTGCATCTTTCTTTTTTGAGGCTGAAAAAAGTAGAAAAGGCAAAAAGAAGAAGTGGGGATTGAACAATTAACTAGTTTTTAATTGTTGGGTCACTGATATGTAGCCAACCATACGATACGGCTTTAAAGGAACATTGTTGTTAGAAAAGTCATTTACTTCAATCATAACTAGCTTCTTCATGGCCTTAAATTGCCAGGTCCACAAGAACTTTCCTGGGTTTAAAGTTCATACTATCATTTTCTCGATTTCTTTCAGAGGAAGTGCGAAATAGTTCTTAAAATATTACTTCCAACGTTTTGCATGTGCCTAAAGCGTCCATCATCCCTAAAATTCTTCATTGTTGCATTAATTGATTTGTAACAGGTCTTCTAAAGTTAGTAGCATGGAGAAAAAGAATGCTAAGGCTGCTCCATCTTATTCTGGCTTGAAAAGTGATGAAAGAGACGAGAGAAAAAAGGAGGTATGCAATGATGCTCCTCCCTTCTCTTCCTTTTCGTAACACATGCACTATTTGTTTTGATATGGATGCACATTGTTCGTCATTAACTAGAATCTCAACATCTCATATCATTTATTTCAGTTCTCCAAGAAACCGGAAGGAAAATCCAACGATAGGGAAGCAGCGAGAAGATATCTGCAGACAAAATCAAAGGTACGATTAATTTTCTTTGTGGAGGATGTCTTTCCATCCACTCGATATAGTTGCACATGCACATAAAAACTTGTAATGAACCAAACATAATAGAGATATCTGACAGGCTGTTTGGTTGTTGGATTCTAATATAAAGAAAATGTCATCTCCCTCGTACTTACCGACACATGACTTCCTAATTTAGAAGAGAGACATTGCTGAACACTATATGATTGACACAGGATAATAGAGATGCAGAGATCAAAAAGTCAAGGCAGAACCTTAATTTTAAAGCTACACCTCTGCCTGGTTTTTATCATGGACAGAGAACATCAAAAAGCCCTCTCGATAAGGTATTTTCTTTCCTCGTTTCCTTTTTTACGACTGCATGTAGTTTGATTACTACCCAAAATGAAACTTTTGATGTCAATCATCTTAAACCATATTTGCTGGCCACCTACTTAGTCATATGCATAAAACTGTGATTGCAATCTAATACTTGACTTTTAAGTTGAGGAACTATAGTCAGTTCTGGTAGAGATACTGATGCTTTCCATTTTATTGCTCTGCGGTTCCGCTGGTGTGCACCGTAGCGTGTATCGTAGGATAAAACGAATACAGTTGTCTCTCACACTTGAGACTTAACCTCATCACGTCAATTTTAAATCTTTGTAAGTTAGTACTGAAACTTAATGTTACTGTTTCTTGTGTGTAATTTCACAGATTGGTTCCAAGAGTGACATCCATCGGTAACCTGGCTTTGTTGGGTCAATAAACCGGGCATCATATACAACTTGGGAGGAAATACCAATAACGTTTTTCTATTTATAAAAAAAGGACGGAAACATAAGAGCTACATCAGCTTCTGAGGCTGACTACGTTGCCGGGCAAGGAAAGGTATATCTGAAGGCATGTTTTTCATTGAGGATGCATATGCCATGATATAGAATTCGTCGTCGATGAGTCACATGATATAGAATGCGTCAATCTTGTTATTGAGTCGGTTCATATAGTAGCAGAGAAGTATAATTGTAATATATCTTAATGAGGACAAAAAGAACACCACTGAATGTGTATCGAATCCTGCTTGACATTTGAGATTGAATCAACTTCAAGTTTCAGCTACAGCCTCTGTCATCTCGTATGCAATTTTCTATTATTTCTTTGAACCGAAAGAGAAAGGGAAAACACTGACTAATTTCACACTTTCTGAATGTGTCATTTTACCAAACACTCATTCCTTCCAACTCAGGAACAGGAGCATCCGATAAAACTTACAATCTCAGTTAACAGATGAGTCACATGGTTCTCAGCTAATCATCTAAAGGCAAAGTCATTGATCTTCCTTTTATGAGAAGAGAAATTCATGAAATACAAAGTCAAAGACAAGAGAAAAAAAATGTCATCTGCTAGAATTTCAGGCATGACATCAGGTGTTCATATTCTAAGGAATTGACTTTCCTACTCTTTCTGTTTGTTTTGCTTCCCAGCCTGCTGCCGAGTGCCGACCACTAATTTAATGTCTAGCTTCAAGCCATTGGCAAGAATCCAAAGCCCATTTTTTTAGATAATTTTTATGTTATCATGTAACTATCATGACATAATTACCTGGGATGAACACAAAATTTTAGGAGACGAAAATAAATTATTAATAAAAAAATATAAAAAATATATGAGAATTTAAATTTTTGAGAGATAACTAACCTGATTACAATGGTTTTGACACTCAACAACCTTTTTTTTCACAACGTGGGAAAAAGAAAGGAAAACAAACTGGAAGACGCTAGAGATTCGGCATTTAAGAGCCAATCAGGGAAGCGATAACTGACACAAATGGCAATGTATTTGTAACAACCCGAAAATTTTAAAATAATATTTAATTGGGAATTGAGGTTTTAATTGAGTAATTGGTGAAAATTTGGGGACTAAATTGGAAGTTTTTAAAACTTGAAGCTTGTTTAAGAGTTAAAGAAAATTCAGGGACCAAGCCCTGAATTTACCCTAAAATGTTAGGTAAGGGCTATTATATACGTGAATTGGTTTCTGATTTCAGAAACCAATTCTTCCCAAATTCCCTCTCCCAACCTCAACTGCCGACGACAATCCCGACGCCGTCCGAATTCCGATCGTCATTTTAAAAACCACCATCGTGTTCATCATCAAGCGAGGAACAAACCCTTCAATTTAATTGAAGCGAAACGCTGCCAAACGTCGTGAATTTCAAGTTAAAGCATCGACGTTTTTTTAAGCTCAATCGCCTAGAAAATCCTAAATTCATCGCCGATCGTTGCTCCTTTTACGACACCTCCCGCACCATCGTGTTCCTTGTGCCGTTCCGAGTCCGCCGGTGTCATCCTCGATCTCCGTTGACGGCGGCGCGTGGGGAGGTGGATCAGTCAAAGATTCGGCCGAGTCGAAATCGAGCTCTCCGCCGTTCAAAAATTTGAACGATCTTTGTAAGTATCTCGAAATCGTTCAAATAATTTTTAGAAATTTTTTCCGTGATTTTTAGAGCCCCGAGGACGTCGCACGCGCCCACACGCGCCGCCGCAGGCGAGTGAACGCTGGAAACCGGTTTTGACCGGTTTAACCGGTTTTGAACCGGTTTTGACCGGTTTGACCGGTCACGACCCGTTTACCCGTTTACCCGACCCGTTGACCCGACCCGTTGACCGTTGACCGGTGCTATTCTGGGAATTAATTCGGTTTTGGTGCTATTCTGGGAATTAATTCGAAATGGGTGCTATTTTGGTAATTTTTTTAAAAAAAGGGTGCTATTTGTGTAAATGTTTGACAGTTTGTTGACCTCCTTTGACCAGAACTTTGACCGGCTTTGACCAGCTATTAGACAACCTTTGTTTTTGACCAAGAATAAATATCCTGATAGTTTTCGACGTTCCGAATCCGTTTTTGGGGTCCGTTTTGCTAAATTCAAACCCGAAAGTCTCCAAATCGTCAGTCAACCCCGTTGACTTTAATTTTGACCAAGAATTCGAAATTTCGGAAGGTCATACTTTATATTTTCGACGTCCTGAATTTGATTCCGAAGTCCGTTTTGCCAAATTCTGACCCGAAATTCCCGAATCGAGCTTGTAAACCCAAAAGGCTTAATATTTTAATATTTTGATTATTTAAATGAGATTTGGTCAAGGATTTATTCAATAAATATTTTATGAAGGTACTCGTGTTTCACCTGAACAAGGATCAATTAGGTCCGGTATTATCCGTTCGTTAGATCAGCCTGAACCGCGTACTACGAGAATTACCCGTAGGTTTCTGTATTTATTTAAATAATATTTAGATTATTTATATTAGGATTCCAATATGGATTTTTCCAATTCGTAGGATCTAGCGCTGCAGTAGAACGTGATCGACAGACCCAGCAATAGGCTTCCCTATCTGATTTCTCAGACTGTTACAGGTGTGTTTCCCGACAGTGTTAATTATTTCTGTTTTAAAATATACATCTGAACATTATGTATATGACATCTGATTTGCCACATATTTCTGAAATGAATTCTGGTTACGGTATTTTATACCGATCTTCTGATATTGAATATTCGATATCTGAAATTCTGTATACTACTGACTTGTCTTCTGATTTCCGTATTTCTGTATATTATTGTTAAGCATGAACACTTTTATGTTTTAAAGATTTAATCATTTTTTCATTCAAATACATTCATGAACATCTCCATCATTGGGGGGTATCGTTGAAGGAAGTATATCCGTAGGTTCCTCGGCTTTGTGCTCAGGGCCTTATTTGTTGTGTGGGCTGGGTGTATGGTTCTGGGGAACCTACACATTCTGTTTGTGATGGGCTGGGGGTGTTCATATTTTTTTTACGACATGATGCATAAACCGACTTTACTGGAATATTGTTATCAGTATGTTTTTATATACTGTATGGAACACACTGGGCTTTTTAGCTCATTCTGTAGTTTTTACCATTTTTCAGATAACAGCAGACCATAAGCTAGCAGATTTGGCATCAGGAGAAATCAACTACTTTATTTTGTACGAACATATATTTCTATATGTTTTTTTCGGTTATGTTTGGTGACATGTATTTTATTATCGTTTTGGACATATTTGTATTATTAATATTATGTTCTATATTATATTATCGTCCTATAAGTGGGAAAAAAAAAACCTCTGAATGGGATATGTGACCACTTAGGTTTGGGTCTAACTCACAGACCGGTCTAGGGGGTTACATTTGGTGGTATCAGAGCTTTCGGTTTTAAACACTCGGACTGTATATGGGTCCTAAACTTTGAATTTTTAAGAAATAAAAAAATGTCACCTTATGTTATGATTTAAAGTTTTATCGAGATCCCTGATGCTAATCTGACATATGTTTCAAATTCTTCTGTAGAGCCTTATAGATCCAACGATGAATACTGCTAGAGGTCGTAGGACAGGACGTGGACGTGGTAGAGGGCGAGTCACTCGACCTTCTGTTACGATAGATGATCCGATGTCACCACGTGATCCTCCTGTTCAGCAAGTAGATACGACTCTTTCTCATGATGATCAGTTTACTCCTGTGAGAGACCCTCCCGTCACTGAAGATGAGGATTCTGAGATGAATGAAGACGCCATTAATAGAGCTATCTTCCGCATGTTTCAGAGAGCTGCTAGAGCCCCTAGTAACATGACTGCAGTGGAGATTTCAAATTCTCTGGTTGCTGCTGGTGTAGTACCATTCGAGGGTATTACTGGTGGACCTCCGACAGACGCTGAGTATTGGCTGGAGGACACAGAAAGGATTATGGATGAGATGGACCTCAGACCTGAGCAAAAGTTAAAGGGGGCCCTAACTATGTGAAGAAAGAAAGCTTCAGATGGTGGCAATCCATTTCTGGTAGTATTCCGAGGAACCAATTAACATGGGATCTTTTCAAGACGCGCTTCCGAAGTCGCTACATTGGAGAGAGATATCTGCAGGAGCGACGCCAGGAGTTTCAGAATCTGGAGCAGGGTAATATGTCTGTTATGGATTATGAGGTTGAATTCATCCGATTGAGCCGATATGCTCCTGGACTTGTGGATACTGAGACAGATCGATGCTTGAGGTTCGAGAATGGACTCAGGTATGAAATCAGAGTCGAGTCGCTACTCACCGAGAGAGGAATTTTGATGCTTTGGTTGAGATAGCCAAGACTGCTGAGGAAATAGAGCGACTGGGTATGGAGCATCGGAGAGATAGTGATCGAGCTCAAACCCGATTCAGGAGGCCTTCTGGTTCTGTTAATTCTTCTGCACATCCTAGCAAGAGGGGCAGGGTGAATCTTTTCAGAGAGGTAGTGCAAGTGCCAGGCCTGTAGCATCCAGTTCTTCAGCTATTCAATCTTCTAGACCTGTTGATTCTGGTTCGCAGCCATGTATTATTGTGGAAAACCTCATCCTGGGGAATGCAGGAGAAAATTTGGTACCTGTTTTAAATGTGGTTCTGGTGACCATTTTATAAGGGATTGTCCATTATCAGTTACTACAGTTCAGACGTCAGCTCGTACTCCCGCTCGTACTCAGAGTACTGTTCAGACTCCTGTAGGTGGTCGTACTCAGGAGAGAGCACCTGGATCGGCTAATAGAGGCCGAGCATCTCAGAGTAGGGGTCCAATCAGATCTGAAGCCAGACAACCTGCATTGGTTTACACTGCTAGACTTCGACAAGAGATGGGCCTGATGTGACTGCAGGTACTGTTACTATTCATTCATTCCATACTTTGCATTGTTTGATAGTGGGCTCTACAAATTCCTATGTATCACATTCCGTTTCTGAGGGTCTAAATATTCCTGTTGAGAATACTGAGCGTTCAGTGATAGTTCAAAGTCCCTTAGGTCAATCTATTGTGTTGGATCGTATTTTTAGAGAGTGCCCTATAGAGATCAATGGGGAGATTTTTCTGGTTGACCTGATGGAGTTACCCTTTGAAGAGT